GAACTTCCCCTTTTGGGTGGTGCTCCGCTTTAACCAGTTTCCTCTCATCACATCATTTAAGTTGAGTTATTTGTAATAGTTTATGAATATGAATGAATGTGATGCTTCCCCTGATATATGATGATTTACCCTTATGACTTTCCTTATGATTTGTTAAGGGAAAAAGAAAAGTAAGAAGTACAAGTTAGAGCATTTGTGACATAAAAATAATCTGCTGGTCAGGCATTTAGGGTCCAGGTGAGGTGGGACTGTGCTGGGTGGCTATTCCAGCGCAGTCCCACTGCATCTTTACCACAAGAAAGGCAAAATGCCTAGTCTTAGTGTTACTGGTTCACTGCATTGCAATGGTGTGCAGATGGTGTGCACTGAAAAAAAGTACTGCGTGCAGTATTTATTTCCAGCACAGTGCAGTCACTGTACACTGGCCAGTAGAACTTTATGAAATGTCACTGTGTGACATTTCAATAAAATCCATTAAAAAAAAGGTGAAAAGTGAGATGCACTGGGTCTGGGACATCATCACTGCCTGCACCTCAGTGCACACCAGTTTCTGCATTTTAAAGCAATGGCTGGTGTGAATGGACCCTTAAAAATATGTATTGTTTGACTAGTCATCTTGAATAAAGCTTGTCTGGATAATTTATCAAAATAGCATGCAAACAAATCCAATCAATCTACAAGACTTTATCAAAGCTGAATATGCAGAAGTAGAACATTTTTAGTTGGGTGATTAATCACTGAAAGTGAAATTTTAGTTCACAAACAGATAATGTGTGTATATATAAATATCTATATATATAAACACACATTTAGAAATTGAATTAAAGTTTGTAATAATAGTTACTACCGTTTTCAGGTTGCATACGCTCTATTATCTAGGACTAGGTAATACGAGGTTGTGAAAAAGTATTCAGCAGTGGCTCGGAGATTCATTATGGGATACCGAAACCTCTTAGCAATATGCCAAGTGTACTGTAATCTGGCATGTTCACAACATCCTAGCTGAAAAATGAATGTCAGTAGGCGCTCCACTAAGTTTAGCATCTATTGCATTTACAGCAAAATAGTCTAAATGTAATGGGCACATATGGTAGACAAACTCAATTTTTACCAGAATGCAGGCATTTGCAAAGTGTTAGAAATTTATTAAGACCACATTAGCACTTTTGCAAAGTATTGTTGAATGCAAGACTGTGTATTTGATAATTTAGAAAATGCATGCATTTGACCATTAAAGCGTATTTAAATCCAAAACCAAAATTTTAATATGTTGCACCTTAACAGTACTTACATGTTTTGACCGCATTGATTGATTTTTTCAGACGTTGTTTTCCTTTATTTTCACCTCATGACCCGGACAGTAACATACTTGTAACTATAACTACAAAATCAATTGATGATGGCAATCCCTTAAAGATCTATTTATTCAGGACATGTTCAGTGAAAGTCCCCAACTGTAGCCACACCTCTCTGGTGCATTTTGCCCTGATGAGTCATCCCATCTCTATGGCTAAGCCCAATCAGGGAGAAATCAGCAAGCCATGGCTACAGGCAGGGACTTTTGCTGCAATAGAGAAACAGACTGCCACAAAAACTATTTTAATGGAATGGTTCGAATATCTGTCAGGTTTTTATTGCAATCTGTGACTGCCTGTCCTGGAATTACCTGTTTCTTGGTACTGATGTAATATGGATGGTAAGTGATGTGAAATCTCTTTGAAAGGGTTACAGATAACAATAAAAACCTGATAAGAGTACATTTTCACCATCCCATCTAAAATAAAAAAAATGGATAGATTTATACACTCTATTTCTCATCATGACTAATGTCACTGGGACAGAAAGTTGAAGAAAACCCAGAAAATTGAATTGTCATGAGAACAGGTACATTTTCCAATGGAAAAAAAAGTAAGAACTGGAATCCTTCCTTCGGAGAGATCAGTTATGAAACATCCATCGTAGCTGCCCACATGGCTTCTATGGGACCCCGAGCAGAGGGGGAGCTTACTAAGGACCAGGAAGGGTAAGATCTTCCTTGGGGTCCACTGTGCTCTTCTACCATTTCGTTGCTTAGATGCTGTGTGCCTGCCAGTGCTTGTGTCTTTGTTTTGTCTCTCCCTCCTCCTGGTTAGTGTGTGTCTTATATAGGGACAGAGATGCAAAGTGATCTCCTACCAGGGGCAGAATGACAACTCATGGGGCCCCCGGGCAATAGGGGATTTGTGCCCTTGCCCAAACTCAAAAAAGCCTATGAAAAAGGAACCAGGGGCATCTCATGGGGCCCCCTACTGACCTCGGGCCCTCGGGCAGTGTCTGAGTTTCCAAATGGTCAGTCCGCCCGTCTCCTACTAAGCGCTGTTTAATCGTTCTGGCTCTAATGTGATTGGTGTACAGGAGGAGACACTGCACAGAGCCATAGAGTTTGGGTAATGATTACTTGTTAGTTGCTGCTAATTCTTCTGGGGCAGTGGGGGGGCCCAGAGGATTTATGTACAATGGTTGAAGGTTATAATTGTTTGCTCTGCCACAAACATAGTAAAATTATAATACTCCTTTTCCTCAGCTTTATTTGTAGCAGTGTTAAAGTAGAAGGAGAGACTATAAAAGAACCCTCTTTTTAAACTCCTCTACCCTAAAATGTGCTGCATGCAGTTTCTTATAAATCTCAATATAAATAACTTTTTGCAAATGATCTTGTGACTGAAAGTTTTTGGTAAGTTTTTGCACAGGTGCTGGGGGATAACTTCAGAGCTAACAGCACCTTAGAGCTATGGACCCCAGTGGGGTGACATCATTGCTCTAAGGATTCTGCAGAGTTCCCTGCACTCCACAGACGGACGTACTGGAACTTTAAGCTTTTTCCAAGTGGTCACTTGACTTCAAAGTGGTTCTAAAGCCCAAACGTTTTTGACCATGATGGAGTCCTTCATTAAGGTAACAAATAAGTAGGTAGTAGTATTGCCCCCCCTCACCCCCCCCCCCATACTTACCTGAGTCCTCACTTGATCCAGCTCTGTGCCCATCTGTCCTTTCTCTCCCTGCTCTCACAGGCTATGCTGAGGCAGTGGGAGCCATTGACTCCTGTGGCTGTCATCCAAATCCTGTGATGCGGGGGGGGGGGGGCAGGACTGAGCCATGGATGCAGGCAATGCAGCTCAGGATCAAATCCACACAAGTGCCCCCATAGCAAGCACATGACTGCACATTTAAACAGGACTTTACCCTATTTACTAAAACAGATCATACACTTTGGAAAGTGAACTTCCACCTTGCTAAGTGAACATCTATTTCTTTAGTAAATCAACCCTATTATTTCACATATTGAAAATTACTGATATGTGTTATGCTACTTGTGGTGGATTCTTACATACAGTTCAAGATTATGAGTGGCTCAAATGGAAAGGGAGATATTGTGGGAGCAGGTGATGCATATCTTCTGACACAGACCACTCATGCCTAAAATTAGTCTTGGACCCATATGTCTCTAAAATTTTATACATTCCATTCATGCAGCACAGATGTTGAATGTGAGACTATTCTTAAGCCCTGCACATAACCAGCAGCATCTTTGGAATGTTTCTAGGAAAAATGGTTACGATCAAATTATATCTTTGAATAATCTTTGCCCATTTAGCACTTACAAACATATGTCAGTGATTATATTGTCATGCTAACAAAACTCTGATAAAAGTCTTCCTTTTTGTACCAGGAACTTGCACTGTAGACAGAATCATCATGGTGGCATTTAAAGGAGTATGGACGCAGTCATTCTGGAAAGCCGTCTCTGCTGAATTTCTGGGAACTCTTATCTTTGTTTTCCTTGGTGTTGGCTCAACAATCAGCTGGACCTCAGCAGACAGCCAGCAGCCAGCAGATCTAGTGCTTATATCCCTGTGCTTTGGATATGGTATTCTAACCATGGTGCATTGTTTTGGGCATATCAGTGGTGCTCATATTAATCCTGCAGTGACAATCGCTCTTGTGTGCACAAGAAAAATAACACTCGCAAAGTCAGTATTTTATATCATGGCACAATGCCTGGGAGCCATCTTTGGGGCAGGACTTTTATATCTTATTACACCAAATGATATCACTGGAAACCTAGGTGTAACTATGGTAAATATTTCACCTATTTAGATCATTTTCATGAAAATCAGGTTCTGATCACACATTTAAGTTGACACAAAGGACACACATTTAAGCTGACTCATGAAGCCCTTTGGCTTGGTATACTATTGTAATTATTATTTTTAAGAAATATACAGATTCTAAAACAAGGCTGTAGGCCTTTCTTCTTCAGAGGAAATGTGAAGTATAAACAATTTGGTAAGAAAAAAAATATGATAATATCAGACCAAAAAAAAAAAGGATTGTATTAGCAAATAATAAGAAAAAATAAAAACTGTTCAAAAGGTTCAGCAGACCATAAATCTTCTGTCCAGATATATCACAGATTTAATGATATAGCACATATAATTGAAGACATGTTAAAAATCATGGTCAACATTAAAATATCCCACATCACTATCAACCTCAATAGAAATATATAGAGTGTAACACAAGAAAATTTGAAAGACATAACTGCACAACAGGCAAAGGAAATATAAAACAAGACAAATGGAAATAGGGCCCCTGATAAGATAAAGACAAGGTAGTGTATAGGTAAGCTGATAAAAAAAAGCATATGGTAGGTACAGTATCTGTCAAAACAGTGTTTTTTAAGTAACCCAATAATGCCATGCAAGTCCTTATATGACTGCTAGTTTTAAGGGCTGAGTGCTATGTAGAGACATCACTCAGGCAGATTTACAGTTGGCTTGTCTACCATGTTCCAATATATACATTGAGATATTTTCTTGTTGATATTGATTTTACACTTCTCTTTTAGTACCAAAGGACATTACTTGGGTCAGGGGCGGACTAACCATTTGGGAACTCGGGCACTGCCCGAGGGCCCGGGTCAGAAGGGGGCCCCATGAGATGCCCCTGGTACCTTTCATAGGCTTTTTTGGGTGTGGTTTGAGTGTGGGCAAGGGCACAGGGGCCCCAGGATCCCCTATTGCCTGGGGGCCCCATGAGTTGTCAGTCCGCCCCTGACTTGGGTGGATGTCTAGCTAGCATGACTGCCATGTCCTAATGTATTATGACGCTGTTGGGTTCATTATAAGACACTATTTTGTCAGATACCTACCATTTGTGACTGTCTTTTTGTATTTCAATCTTTTTATTGATTTATAAACAGTTTTAGGTGTAATCCTGGACTTCCATCTGTCCTTTCACCCCCAAATCCAATCACTGTCCAAATCTTGTAGACTTCACCACCGCAACATCTCCAAGATACGCCCGTTCCTAACCCCGGAAACCGTTAAGCAACTTATTCACTCCCTTGTTATATCTCGCCTTGACTGTTGTAACTCCCTCCTCATTGGCCTACTAAATCGCAGGCTATTCCCTCTTCAGTCTATCATGAATGCTGCTGCCAGACTTATCCACCCTACTAATCGTTCTGTATCTGCCACCCCTCTCTGCCAATCTCTCCACTGGCTTCCCATTGCCCAACTGATAAAATTCAAAACATTAACAATAATGTATTAAGCCATTTATAACTCTGCCCCAAATTACATCAACGATCTTGTCTCTAAATATCACCCAAACCATACTCTCTGCTTCTCACAAGACCTCCTGCTCTCTAGCTCCCTTGTCTCCTCCTCCCATGCTTATCTGCAGGACTTCTCCAGAGCTTCCCCCATCCTCTGGAACTAAATACCTCAATTTATCGCCTACTCTGCTCACTTTTAGGCAATCTCTGAAAACCTATCTCTATTCAGGGAAGCCTATCCTGCCCTCAGCTAATAATGGAATCTTCTAATCTTCCAACCAGTCCATCCCCCACAGTTACTACCTTTTGTGCCACTAACCCCTCCCTCCTAGATTGTAAGCTCCAAGGAGCAGGGCCCTCCTTTCCCTCTTGTATTGAACTATATTGTTGCTGTATTGTCTCCCATTATATTGTAAAGCGCTGAGCAAACTGTTGGTGCTATATAAATCCTGTATAATAATAATAATAATAAGACAGGAGCAACAAAACACGCCCATGCAGGGGCTATCAATTGCACATAAAAAATTTTGAAAAAACAGTGCTGTAACACCAACAGAGCAAAAGGTGCGCACACGCAGGGGCTATCAATGGCATAAATTACAAAAATATTAGCATAACTCCTACAGTAACTTAAACTAAAGGCAGCTATCCACTGCCACACCAAAAACAAACAGAAAAAGAAAAGGAAAGAGGAGTACAAAAGGAAAAAGATAACAAGACCAAGAGCAGGGGTCCTGAGAATGCCAATACCAAGCAACATCACAACCCCAGACTAGCCAGGGGAGCGAGGGAAAGGCATATTGCAACCACGCCTCCCATATTTTCAAGAATTTCCGTTGGGAGTCGTTACAGATACTTGACATTTGTTCATTGAGCATCATAATGGTCATACGGTCCCGCACCCCCTGAAGAGGGACAAACAGGCTCTTCCAGGCCTGAGCAATTGTTCTAGTGGCCGACAAAAACAAATAGGAAGCCAATTTCTGCTGGTGAGCCAAGAGGCCTGGTATGGGACAATGAAGCAAAGCATACCGAGCATCCCGGCATATGGAGAGCTGGAACAAGGTGAAAAGGAGACCAAACACACGAGACCAAAAACTGAACAGTCTCGGGCATGGCCACCTGATAATCAATACATCACCACGATGGCCACAACCCTGAAAGCATCGATCACTGCAGGCAGGGTTCGCCTGGGCCAAACGAGCTGGAACCCAATACCAACAAAACAATACCTTGTATGCTGCCTCCAGCATGGTCGTATTAAATGAACATTTAGCTATAAGCGACCAGGCCCTCTTGCAGTCCTCCAAATCCACGACTGCCCCCAGGTCACACTCCCTCTGAGCGACATATGAGAGAGAAGTATTCGTCGAGCGTCTGTTCAAAGCTGCATAAGGAAGAGAAATAAGGCCCGGGGCGCCCAGACGCTGTTGGCAAAGCAGTTCAAAGGCAGATTTCTAGTACGGGAAAGTGGAAGTGCCCCACAGTGAGGTCAGTCAATGCAACAATTGAAGGTAACGAAAAAATTTTGAACGAAAAAAACGAAAATATCCCGTGACTCCCAAAGAGAATTCCAAGTGGGGAAGGACCGAGAAGTCAAAAAGTGTTGCACATGTGAAAAACCATTGTCCACCCACCAAGAAAACGCCCTTGGTTGATCTGAACCCGGCGGGAAGAGAGGGTTGTTAATAATTGGGAGCAAAGGTAGGAAAGGTGACATCAAGCCACTGGAGTAGCGTACCAAGTCCAACACTTTTAAGCCATGGACCAAAATCGGACTCACTTTATATTTCATTTGTTGTGGTGCAGCTATGACCCTTAAACTATGTTGTGTATATTTCTAATAAAGATAGTATGAGAGTGCGATATACAGGGGTTAGACAAAAAATGGAAACACTACATGATTTGCAGGTGTGAAAGTGATGACGTTTCGTGTTTGATACTGTACCTCACCACACGGCAAAAAATTTGGCAACTTCAGTCACAGAGTCACCAGCTAAGTGGGCACCAACAATTTTCCCTCTTTGAAGCTCAGTAAGCTCTGACATGACTCTGTATTACTAGCAGCACTTGCAGTGAATGAAAAAAGTGAGGCTTCCCACCTGTTAGCTAGGTTTCTCATCACACAGCAGAAGCAACAGAGTGTTACATCACTTCCGCTTTGAACACGAAACGTCGTCACGATCACACCTGAATATAATGTAGTGTTTTCATTTTTTGTCCAACTCCTGTATTTGGTCTACTGTACTGCCAGTTTGATGTAATTTCATAGTGGGGTTGTTGATAACAAGCAATGTGTGATATTATAATGTTGACCAGGTTTTAAACATGTCTTCATTTTTATGTGCTATACGACAGATGACTTGTGGTCTGTGGATCCTTTTGAACAGTTTTGATTTTTTTTGTACTATTTGCTAATGCAATCCTTGAGTCCATAGTTCAGGATGTATTTTTTTTTCTATATTTAATTTTTTTTATCAGTGGGACTCCGATAATTGCGTTTTGGGGTTTTATGTCAACTGATAACATATTGAGAAAAGAGTAAAGCAAAAAAGTAACATAATAGTAAGTGTGAGTTATGGGAGGAAACCAACATGGGGAGACCACAGAAACTAAACTAAGTTTTCCTAATTGGTATTCAACCCAAAATACCAATGTCTCAAGATTAAAGTACAAACTGCTGATCCAAAGTGCTGCCCCACCTACCTGTAATTTCTATGCAAACCAGGCCCTGCTGCGCTGCACAACCCCAATGTCAACAGAAATGCTGTTTTTTTGAAATCTCTACTTTGAAGCCAGAAATCTCCCAAACCAAGGAGAGCCAAATCTGCCCATCCCCTTACTGGATATGGCCATAGGCATCCACATTCTAATGATTTATATCACAGGACATCCATATTTTAACCATACACATTGGGAGTCAAGACAAAGTGGGAGGCATGTACATATGTCTATACATCTCTGGTACTATAATGTGTGTGTAAGGTGGGATTGTCTCAAATGTTTCATTAAGATATGAGATGACAGCAAATTCATGCTTGCTGCAAAGATAAAACAGTTACTGCATAACTTTTGCAGCAGTAATGATCACACTATTCTCACTATTTAACATCTGCATAAATTCACTTTGCAAATGAAAAAGTTTCTACATTTCCCATTTTACTCTTTTCTTTCAACAGATCAGTGAAAGACTTTCCATTGGTCATGGGCTTTTAATAGAACTTATAATTACATTTCAGTTAGTCTTTACCATTTCTGCAAGCTGTGATCCGCAGAACAAGGACAGACTACCAGCCCTTGCAATTGGAATTTCTGTTGTATTTGGACATTTATTTGCAGTAAGTAGTTCTTTCATGCTAAAATTGCAGTCATATTTTCTGTCTGTATTTATTTATATTTTTAGATGGTTCAGAACATGCTGTAATTTTCAAACTGTTCAGTTAGAAAGATGTTGAAGATTATTTCTGATGATTAGTAGACTTGGTTGTAGATATTGAATGACAGGCTTGTAAATCTACATGGCTGCATGTTATGATCACTTTGTGTTTTAAACATGTTCATAAACGGTTTCCCATATGTAATTTACAGACCATGGAGAGAAGTTTTATGTACCATATGCTTTATGTAAGAATTATATTGTTGCAAATTAGACAAAAAAAAATGAACTTCAGCTTTATGCACATAATACTGCCACTGTAATTTATCTTGGATGGGAAGCATGCAATGTATTGGAACAACTGTACTAGAAATGCTTAATACATTACAATCAAATGCAAAACAGCCATGGGAAATCTTTTAGTTGATCCATATTTCTTAAAAATAAGTGAGACAGCAAACTTCATGAGCTATGCATATTCAAATAATATAAGCAAGTCAAACTAGCTTGTTCAATAAGCAAAGAACATAGTGTAAAGTGGAGTTAATCAGTGTAGAATTTATCTATTACTGGTCCAGTTCCAGAGAAGTAAAATTTGTTTGGGTAGCATGTCTTATTGCATTTTGCACATGATCATTGACCTTCTTCTTGTCTTGTGTAGCGCTTACCCTGCAGGATAGGGCTGCCACCTTTTCTGTAAGCCAAACCTGAACACATTGGTGGTGCACTGCAATTTTTTTTGTAGTGTACACTATAGGATTGTAAAAGACCTGAAACTCCTTTGGGTTCCCCAAGGAGAGTAGTAGCAGTAGTGGCACTGCGTGCCATGGCAAACAGTGGGTGTGGTCAAATTGCGTTAACAGAGGGAGCAGCTTAAAGGGGCATGGTTAAATAGAAAGCATCTGGTGTGCACAGTATGGGGGAAGGGGGTGTAGTATTGGGGGAAGGGGTCTACTGGTGTGTCCTGGTGGGGGAGGGGATCAAGTAGGGGGTAAGTAGGGTTCATTAGGTGCTCCTGGTCCAGGCAGACTGTATGGTGTTTGTTCCCTTGGCAGTCCCTGGCTTAGTGGGTACATGTCCCTCTCAGGGGATCCCCTGGTA